TTTATTAACGTATTGTTTCATACCTAAGCTCAGCATTGTCGTTTCCAGCTTCTTTGCAAAAGGAATCTCTCTCTCTCCTCTCTCTATCATAAGATTTATATTAAAGTCACTAATTACTATACATTCTTCTTTTATTGTTAAGTCCTCTACTATATCTTCCAGAAATCTCATAAAGTCACCATGCGACGCGCTTGGTGAGTGATATACTACCATAATCACTCCTTTATACAATTTTTCTTTTATGTAAAGATGATTGTATGTAGCTTCAAGAATTTTTTTCAAAAAACAAATGAATTTTGGCTATTGAAGCAATAACACTGTTGTTGGAGTGCATATATTTAAATCCGTTTATTAACAATTTGATAGCATAAACGCTTTCGACCTTGTATTAGGTCCTTTTCAAATGCATTTAAATTTCTTAGATAAAATACTAAATTACTTAGATAAAATACTAAATACTAAATTACTTAGAGAAAACGCGACAAAGTCGCGTTACACTCTTGTAAAGTGTTGGTCGGGATGGCTAGTGCGGATATTCTCGATCAGCATTGAGCGACGTATTTTATCTAAGAAATTTAAATGCATTTGAAAAAGACTTAATACAAGGTCGAAAGCGTTTATGCTATCAAATTGTTAATAAACGGATTTAAATATATACACTCTAACAACAGTGTTATTGCTTCAATAGCCAAAATTCATTTGTTCTTTGAAAAAAATTTTTCTTTTACTTCTATCGCTACACAGCAATAATTCAATTTTAACGTTTTTAATAAACAAATAATAGTTTAATTTTAACGTTTTTGCTAATACTATTTCATATTTAACATCGTCTCTCATATATAAAACAACTTCTCCTGTATTTCTGTTCTCAGTATTACACCTAACTATACTATAACCCTGAACGTTCACTTCACTATCTTCAATCTTATGAGTCAATCTAGTTTCCGACAGTGCTAAAAATGCAGGATTTATTTTCTTCAAAATCTGATGCTGTATCTCTTTATGCGCCGTTAAACTTTGCGCATTTGTATGTAGCATTAGCTCTACATCTTCCTGTAGTTGCTATTTAGTGTCCTTCTAGCCAGCTCTCCTCTTCTCTTCTTGTAATGCCCTCTTAAAAGTTGGACACTCCACAGTGAAAGCGTCGTGCTTGTTATTTATTTTCAGGTTGTATGTTCGAATTTTGAACATACAATTTACACATTTCTTTTTTGTCGCTACGCAGTCAATCGAGTTGTGATTTCCTGCACATTTGTGACATGTCTCGTTCTTTACACAGTTTTTAGCTATGTGATAATAACCCCAGCATTTAAAACATCTTTTAACACTAACGTGATTAGATACAGACATTTCTTCCATCCTATTTTTAGATTAGTTTTCTTCAACATCAACTCGTGTGTTTCATCATCTGTGTCTAATATTATTGATCCCTCTTAACTTTCTCGTTTTTTAGACTGGTTTTTATTATTTTTCTTTTCTTTAATTATTTTCTTCACTATTCGCATATTCATTGCATCCATTTTATTCTGCCTTTTTATCGTAGATATAAGTTCATCATCATTTAAATTTAGCTCTACATTAATCTATCTCTACATTAATAATTCTATCCCTACATTAATAATTTTTAATTTCGGCTTTGATTGTGGTGATTCCACTACTTTATAGGTTTCTCCTAGTTTAGCTTGATTTGTCAACTTCACTTTTTTTATTCCTCTCCAGTTTCACATTCCATTATTATAGTTCCCATGCTTTCTTTTCTTACCTTCGTTTACTCCCATTGCCATGTTCTTCATATCCACTTTTTCTTTTATTACCTTTTTTGTGGTTTCCCTCTCTTGTTCCAATTTTGGCTTCACAATTATAATATTTTCTCTCTTCATTTCATCAGAGAGTGAGAGAGAGTAAAAGAGAGAGCGAGAGAAAGAGAGAGAGAGTGGGAGAGAGTGCGAGAGAGAGTGAGAGATAGTGAGAGAAAGTGGCAGAGAGTGCAAAAGAGAGTAAGAGAGAGTGAAAGAGAATGCGAGAGAGAGTGAGAGAGAGTGCGAGAGAGAGTGAGAGAGAGTGCAAGAGAGAGAAAAAGAGAGTGAGAGAGAATACGACAGAGAGTGAGAGATAGTGAAAAAGAATGTAAGAGAGAGTGAGAAAGAGTGCGAGAAAGTGCGAGAGCGAGTGAGAGAGAATAAGAGAAAGTGAGAGAGTGAGAGAGAGACTGCGAGAGAAATTGAGATATAGTGAGAGAGAGTGGGAGAGAGAGTGAGAGATAGTGAGAAAAAGTGGGAGAGAGCGCGAGAGAGTGAGAGAGAGAGAGTGAAAGAGAATTGAGAGAGAGTGAGTGCGAGAGAGTGCGAAAGAGAGTGGAAGAGAGTGAGAGAGAGTGAAAGAGAATGCGAGAGAGAATGAGAGAGAGACAGAAACAGAAAGACAGAGCAAAAAAGAGAACGCAACGAGAGTGATCATTTGAGGAATATAAGAAATTAGTATAAAATATATAATATACTCTTTATAATAATGTAAAACCTGATGCTTGAAGTTTTTTTGGTTTTTTGCGCAAATTTAGATTTGATAAAAAATGTAGTCGAGCATCAAGTAACTCCTACTAAGATACAAGACCCAATTATTGTCACCTGAATAATAAACTCTGGCGTTAGCAAATTGTTTTTACTATTTATTTATCAAAAACATGTGTTTTTCTTCTTATCTGGTATTATTCAATGTATCTAATATAAAAAACAAAATAATACCGCCTCTCAAAATCTCTTATTTTGTTTATAAATTTAATAATTAAAAAAGAATGATGCGAGAGCTATTACTGTTACCCCTAAAATGAAAGAAATGAGACAAGAATGTTGAGTGCTGAATTTTTTATTATATTAATTGCACTTAAAATTCTATGTTAGATTTTTTTCATGCATAACTTTTTAGGATTTATTTAATATTTTAAATAAAATAGCTTAGGGTGACAGTAATTGGGTCTTTTACCCTACATGACGTAAAAATTGTGAGTATACAAATACAGTTGTACGAAATAATATTTTGATTTCAATTCCTGGTATTAATTCAGAGAAAAAGAGTTATGATCTAACGATTTATTAAATTTTACCCTTCCTCATTAGCGTGAATTATATAATACTTTATGTAACACTTGTAAAAAGAATGGAGTGAGATATTTAAAAGAGAATTAACATTAACAAAAGAAATACTTATCATTCATTTTCTATTATTTTTACTAGAAAATGGGAAAGTAATTCCAGCACACATATTTAACCTTTTCGCTCCGGGACTGGTCCATATATGGACCAGCAAGAAAAGCGAACGTAATAGATGTTTATAAGGTCAATTTAATGCACTAAATTTAGGAAAAAAATTGAAAAAAATCCTGGTTACTTTTTTGACCTTCAAAATTAACTTTGAAGGGGGGGTAGCAGGTTATTATTAACTTTTTCAGCTAAAATGCGAGGTCAATTTTAAAGGAAAAATTCCCGGAGCGAAAAGGTTAATCTACTTGCTGTACCAACGACTAAAGTATCAGTACATGGACGGCTGTATAAAGTAATAAATGCTATATTTAAGAATGATCTGTGTATTGAAAAGAGTCATTATACAAATATGTGTAGAGATGGAAAATCGATCTAGCACAGAATTGATGATATGCAAATTAGAAAACACCACTGGTCTAAAGGTGCTACAAATGTTTATATTTTTTTCTTGGAAAAAATAAAAAATAAATATTTTACTATTGTCAAAAATTGAGAAAAAAGAGAAAATAGAAAAGAAGATAAATTTGAAGATAAACGTATATTCTAAAAAATGTGTGATATCTCGAAAAACTTCCCTTTTTAAAAAAAGAAAAAAGGCGCCAAGTACAAGTCAAACAAAAATATCTTTGTCTACAAAACCTGTTTTACAAAAGAAGTGATATCAAAAGTAGCACCACATTTGTGTACATTTTAATTAAAAACATTATATAAAATAATATATATTAATGTATATTAATTAAAACCGTTATATAAAAACAAAGTATAAAATCATTGTATCAATAGCTAGACTTTGCTTTTTGTGAAAAGTCAAAACAAAAAATAATTAAGAGAGAGTAAAAGAGAGTGGGAAAGAGAATAAGAGAAAATGAAAGAAAGTGAGAGAGAGAGAGTAAAAGAGAGTAACAGAGAGTAAGAGAGAGAGTGAGAGAGAGTGTGAGAAAGTGAGAATGAGTGACAAAGAGTTGGTAAGAATGAGTGACAGAGAGAGAGTGAGAGAGAGTGAGAGAGAGAGAGGGAGAGGAGTAGGAGAGAGTGAGAGAGAAAGTAAGAGAGAATGAGAGAGAGAGTGAAAGAGAGTGAGAGAGAGAGTAAAAGAGAGTGAGAGAGAGTGAGAGAGAGTGGGAGAGAGAGTGAGAGAAAGTGAGAGAGTGAAAGAGAGAGAGAGAGTAAAAGAGAATGAGAGAGAGAGTGAAAGAGAGTGAGAGAGAGTGAAAGAGTGAGAGAGAGTGAAAGAGAGTGGAAGAGAGAGTGAGAGAGAGTGGGAGAGAAAGTGAGAGAGAGTGAGAGAGAGTGGGAGAGAATGGGAGAAAAAGTCAGAAAAAGTGAGAGAGAGTGATAGAATGAGAGACAGTGAAAATGAGGGGGAAAGAAAGTGAGATGAAGAAATAGAAAGAGTGAGAGAGTGTGAGAGAGTATGAAGTTGCGAAAGTGCAAGAGATAGAACGCAGCGAGAGTAATCATTGAAAACAACCACCACGAGGAACGTAAGTCAATTAATAATTCTATATTAATATTTATATATTATATTATTTATTTCACAATTAATTTTTTTAAAATGTTTTAGGTTGTAACGTAAGTTAGTATTAATAATTATATACATAGTATTTATTACATAATTATTTAGGTTGTATTGTACTTATAAGACGGCAACGTTAGTGATTTTGGAGATTTCTTTGAAACAAAAAGAAACCATTAAATATGCTATATAATAACATATATTATTATTTACTATATATACTCGTATATGAATCATATCAATGATAATATTCCCAGTCAGAAATACCTTGTCGAATCGACGTCGATTCGACGTCGATTATACTAGTCGATCTGCGGTTGATCGACGTCGATTTCTGACTGGGATTATTATTACGCTATACTTACAGTTTACAACTGGAGATTATATGTTACTTAATTTATATGGCCACGATTACCGCGGCCGCGAGTACTGCGATTTCTATAATACTATAATTGTCTTCATCTTCCCGCACTTGTACCTCTTCAGCCTGCAAAAATAAATATATGATTGTACATATACATACGTTTATATAACATATATATGTAAGGAAAAGATAAGAAACAAAGAAAAAAAGAGAGAAAGAGAGAGAGAGAGAGAGAGAGAAAGAAAAAAAAGATGTATGTAAATATACTTACGCTTGATTTCTTGTGTTTCTTGTGTCGATATCTCTGCAAAAAATATACGTATATACAATATACCGTTTACAATATGTGTGTACATTTTTGTTCTGATATTCACAGTATTAAAACTCTATACTTCACGTCACATGTGCTATAAATTTCCAGTAGTGGCAAGAAATATCCAAACGCATAAGTAATGTATAAATAATTCCGAATAGCTTTACTTTCTTGTGATTGCCCTGCAACACTTGCTTCTGGTTGACCTGCAAAAAGCAACAAAGTATACTTATAATCTCTAATTGTACATGAATATCTGAGTGTCACATTGTATATAAGAGAGAAATTTGTGTGTATGTGTTTGTGTAAATAATGTGTACCATAAAAAAATATACTTACATTTTTCTATTCATATGACAACTTCATCAACATTTTTTTGTATGGTTTCTGTAAACAAATATGTATATAAAATAAAATACAGTGTAAATTACAAGTAAAAAACTTAAACTTTACTTACTTTTATCGTCTTGTGCAATGACTTTTGTTAGTTGATATTGTAGCATCAATTTTTCGTTTAATCGTCGATTTTCTTCTTATGTCAAGGTTCGAATATTATGTTATATAATGTTTTTAATTAAAATGTACACAAGTGTACTTGGTGCTACTTTTGATATCACTTCTTTTGTAAAAAGGTTTGTAAACAGGTTTCTTTTGTAAACAGGTTTTGTAGACAAAGATGTTTGTTTGGCGCGTACTTGGCGCCTTTTTTCTTTTTTTGAAAAAGGTATTAAAAATGATATGCTTTACTTTACTATATACATTGATAGAACTCACTTGATGTTGATTTTTCTAATAAAACATACTGGTGTCTTTTATCGTGTTGTATTATATTTCTGAGTGGCTTTTTCCCAACAGGTTACGGACCCAGAAGCTCTGTGAAACTGTCAGAAACAAATTGCCAAGTATACGACATTATTGTTATATTTTCGATTTTCAGATAGTCTTAACCACACGAAGATAAACACGACCGGCGTAAAGTTTGAAATGCTTGATAAAGAAAATTACAACATATAGAAACTTCAAATGCGTGCAATTCTCATAAAAAATGACGCGTGGGGTTACGTGGCATGATTGAAAAACCTGAAGCGCGACAAGACGATGCGGCCTCAAAAGAAGCTGAGAAGCGATGGATAGGAACCGATTTGAAGGCGCAGTCAGATATTGTGCTTGCCATAAGCCCATCTGAAATTAAACAAATAAAAAAATGCACTACTGCAAGAAAAATTTGGACAAAATTAGAAACTATTTATCAATCTAAAGCCCCGGCGCGAAAGGTTGCCTTAGACCCGGTTTCACAATTCGCGGTTAACTCGAATTAACCGAAGTTCGACTTGCTGAGCTCGGTTTAACGCGTTCAATCTTCTTTGTCAAATCTTCGCTAACCAATCACAGTTTCTGTTTAGGAAGAAAAGATGCGTTACGCCGAGTTCAGCAAGTTGGGCTTCCGTTAATTCAAGTTAACCGTCAATTGTGAAACCGGGCCTTAATAAACCATTTGATGTCTCTGAAAATGGAAGATAGCTACGATGCGCATGAACATTCTCGACGCTTCTGCAATACAGTAGACAGGTTAGCAGAATTGGACATTTCTTTTAACCAAGACGTCTTATCAATAATGCTTATGCGAAGTCTACCAGAAAGTTTTGAAAATTTCCGATGTGCAATGGCATCGCGTGAGTTGCCATCTCTTGATACGGTTCGAATTAAGATCGGAGAAGAATTCGATGCGCGAAAATTAAAAGATCGGGACAACGTGCAAAATGCGATGATTGCGGGAAACTCCGGAAACAAGAGCAGTCAACATAATAAGAATCGTTTTGAAAGACACATAAGTTACGATGTTACAAATAGAGACGCAAAAATAAAGTGTTTTAAATGTGGTACAATCGGACATCGAGCTAAAAATTGTGTAAAGACGAGTGATTTGAAGGAACAATCCGCGTGCAATACTGAGGATGTATGCGTGTTTACAATACCAGATTCGTCAACAAATAAGGCTTTTCGTGCCACATAGTATCTTACAGTGCCAAGTAGTATCTTACACAATGGTTGATGTTTCGATAGTGGATGTACATTACATATGTGTAAAGACATCGAAATGTTCGTAAAAATTGATCGGAAGTATGATCACGGAAAGCTAAATCTTGCTAGCAGTGCCAGTACGGACATTAGAGACAAAGGCATTGTGTCAACTGTGACAAATAGTAACACTGGTAGTAGAGCGCTAAAGTTTTTGGACACGCTGTATGTTCCGGACTTGCGAACAAATCTCGTTTCAGTCGGTAAAATTACCGTTAAAGGACATATAAAGTCGTTTTCAGTAAAACGAAGGCAGAGTTGATCATAACGGAAACATTTTGATTACCGCGAGACGCGAAAACGTATTATTTTTCGAGTGTAACCGACAATGAGTGTAGGTATGCTCTCGAGACAATGTTACAAGAAAAGTGCCAAAAAATGTTCTCAAAGATTGGCATATCCGCATGAGACATTTAAATATCCAATCTCTTCGGGAAGCTGTTAGAAAAAAGTCGATACACGGAGTCAGCATCAAAAATATGAATCAAGATTTCGAATGCAGCGTTTGCTCTTAAGGGAAGATGTGATGGGTTCCTTTCCCAAAGATCTCCAAGAGAGTAACTATACGCGGCGAACTAATACACTTTGATGTTTGCGGTCCGATGTTCCGTGTTCGTTCACATGGGAAGAAAAATTATTTTGTTACGTTTATTGATGATTTTTCTGGATGGTGCGAAGTAAGGTTTATTGAACAAAAGGATTTGGTAGTAGACGAGTTTAATAAATTGAGATCACTCAAACTTAAATTTCGTGTGTGACTTCAAGCGTTACGGAAATGAAATTTTTGTCATGAATAGATCACCTGGCAAAAAAAAATTGAACCGCGATCAAAGAAAGGCCAATTTGTGGGATACAGTTCAGAATCAAAAGCATACAAAGTCTGGTTATAGAAAAACAAAAAGTTATAGTATCGAGAGATGTGAAATTCCTGGAAGATATACCTATCAAGTCGGATAACAACTTTGAAGACTTTTATATAGCAGCAAGATAATTCTCAAGGAATATCGAATGTACCAAACGATCTCAGCAGAAAAGCACATGATAAGACATTTGTAGAGATCAGTCTTGATCGAAGTCAAGATTTGATTGAATCAAGACATGTATGAGAACGTTGATGACAATGAGGAGGATTCGACAACGAGGACATCCTAGATTACCCACCAGCTGATCCAAGAGTCATAACAAAATGAGGTTCGGGCAGACCACGCAAGAAACATACGGGACATCGTGGTAGACCCCGTAAAATTTATATGAGTGCAAAAGATATTGAAAATGTTGAAAAAATTTTGCTTTCTTGACTGAAATTCCAGTTACTCAAACGTTGAGTAGCTCAGAGTCGGGAGAATGGATGGAAGCTATGGCCAACAAAGTAAAATCAATTTTTACAAAAGATACATGGAATCTGATAGATATATTAGAAGCTTTATACGTGATAGGCAGTCGTTTTGTTCTATGCAACAAGTATGGTGCAAATGAAGTTTTGGAAAAACGCAAAGCAAGAATTGTAGGATATTTTCAAAAATATGGAAAAGATTTCCATGAAACATTTGCACCGGTGGCGCGCTTGATATCTGTACAATCAACAATTGCTTTAGCAGTACAAAATAAGATGCATATTTGACAGTATAACGTGACGACTGCATACCTCAATGGTGAACTAGACGAAGTAATATTCATGGAAGTACCACATTGTATGAAAAACGTTTTAAGTTACATTATCAACAAAGGATACCGTGAGGATCAATTGGTTACCAAAGCCAGGACCATGTTAGACAAATTAGCGTCTGGAAGTAAGGTCTGTTGTATAAAGAAGGCCTTATATGACTTGAAGCAAGCAAGTCGTTTCTGGTACAAACGTCTGGATAAGGAACTCCGTGTCCTGGGATTGAAGCCGACGAAGGGGGATTCTTGTGTCTACATAAGAAATATAAAGAAAAAGCTGGTGATTATCGTAATATATGTAGATAACATTTTGGCGATGTGTACCGATTTAAAAGAAATAGCTCGGTTTGGAGATGAATTGAAAGGTTTGTTTGAGGTAAAGGACATAGGGTGGCTTAGACGTTGCCTAGGAATGGATTTTGTTGGAAACGATCAAGGAATGTTTGTTAATCAGAAAACGTATATCACAAACGTCCTGCAGCGTTTTGGAATGCAAGATTGTAATCCGGTGTCGACTCCCTTAGATCCTGGAACTAAGTTAGTCAGGGGTGAAGCTTGGTCCGATTCAGATGACGAAAAACCTCCTTATCAAGAACTGGTTGGATGTCTGTTATATCTGTGGTAGCAACACGTCCCGATATTGCTCACACAGCCAATTTGTTAAGCCAGTTTAACAATTTTTTCAATCAAAGTCACTGAAACACAGCAAAAAGGGTATTACGATATCTGAAAGGTACAGTTGATCAGAGAATCCTCTACAAATGTGGTGATAATACGCTGGCAGGATATGTAGATACCGATTGGGAAGAATCACGCGACGATAAGCGGTTCTTTACAGGGTATGATTTTGTAATGAGCAGAGGTGTCATCACATAAAACTTCAGAAAACAACATACTGTTGTGAAATCTAGAATAATTTCGTACGGGCCATTGAGCAATTACGGAAGGTACGCGTCATTGCTCAATCGACACGAATTTATTTAGAAAGGTAACAAGCAGCATTTCCTTGTCAATAAAATCTGCTTGTTAAGCGTAGTGTTAACTAGGATACAGTCGCAGCACGCAACGTCAGCGGCCTACGTGCAGTAGCATTTGAGTCGCTACATTGCTGAATGGTCGCGATCGATCCTTTTAAAAGATCGATCGCAAGCAACGACAGACAGATCGTGAGTAGCTGTTGACAATACCAAGGATCCGGACCGGACTGAAACCGAAACCGATAACCGGACCGTAACCGTTATTTTAGTCAAACCGAAACTGAAAACCGGCCCGAAATATTATGTAAACTAATGGACCGGAACCGTAACCGAACCGAAAACTATTTCCGATGTTTATTTCGGTTCGGATTTTTCTAACGTTGTTAAACGTTTTACAAGAAGTTTTATTTGGAAGAATTTGAAAATCATAGTTGTCATTGGCAACTCATTAGATTGTGTTCGAAGCCAGAGCTAATCGAATT